TCTTACTTTTGTTATTGATCCGTCACTGAAAATAATCCGACATTGTAGTAATAATCGAAGCACACTTATGAAACTTTTATCGACCGGTCGGCTTGCGTCTCGCGGAAAATAATCGAGTCGTAAAGGCGCACCGGGCGCGCGCATCGCATGACACGAATTACATAAAAATGCCGACTTTATTAAGTACGAAGAGCGACGCAGCGGCGCGGCCGAAGAAGAAATAAAAGCGCGCACAAGCCTGCACGCTTCATTACGCCTCGCGGCACGGCGCTACTATACTCGGAACTCTAGCCAAAGCACTCACTCAAGCATTTCTTCTCGTGCCGCGCTCTTTTAGAGCTCTTGCTTTTCATTTATCGTGAATACGTTGAATCCGCGCTTCGATTTCTTCGCTCGTGCGCGCTTTGAGCTTTTTTAGGGCGCGCGCGGCGGTTTTTTGCGTCGCGCCGCTTCGCCGGGCACACATAACCTCAAACCTCTACGAATTGCAATAGAAATCAAAATATAAAGATTCGAATGCATTCGTGCGCAATTGTGAGCATTCACGTTTTGAAAGTAATTTAATTATCAACGTTTTCATCCATGTAAGCAATTTTAACGTACTTGTTAAAAGTACAAACTACACTTTATTATAAAATACATTCACTTTATCACACATTTCACACATCCAAATATTTTTTGAGAAAATTTATGACACACTGTATGTTGGTGTGGATTTTTATTTACGCGTGTGTTGAGCACGTGCACAATCACTTTTTACTACTCACGATCGCTGTATTTATGCGCTATCTCCGTTTTACTTCGAGTTGGGTGAAGTGAAATGTGTGTGAGTGTAGTGCATGTTTTATTAAGATTAGTACAAAGTGCGCACGTGCAAAAACGGCGCGCACGTTCGCGCAAACATGGCAAACACAGGCAATAATCATAATCGTAACGATAATGGCATCATCCGCAAGAAGGAAGAGAGGAGGAGGTAAACGTGCCAACGGATAATAAAATATAATCAAACAATACCACAGGATAAATAATTGAATCAGTGGCACGTAGGAAGATGTGATTGAGGTTATGGGAGATTTTTTTATTGGAAAATTGGAATTTTACGTTAAAAAAATGAACAAAAAGTAAAAAATTTGTTTTATTTTACAAATTTTCACACATTTTCTTATTATTCAATATTTTCTTTACTGCCTTGGCATAATTGAATCAATAATGACACGTAAGGAGCAATAATTGAGGTTATGAAATTTTTTTCTGTTTAAAAATCGAGATTTTGTACAAAAAAATGAATCAAAAGTAAAAATTTAACTTTTTTTTTTACAAATTCTTACATATTTTCTATTCTTTAATGATGTACTTTACTAGCTAGGCGCAATTAAATTAATAATGCTACGTAGAAAGCAATTATTGAGATTATGAGCAGTTTTTTTTAAGTGAAAAATTAATTTTTTACGCAAAAAGTTAAATCAAAAGTAAAAATTTTCATTTTTTTCAAAGTTTTTTAACATTTTTCTTATTTTTCAATGTTTTACTTTACTACCTAGGCATGAAAATGTTATTTTAAAGCCCCCGTAGCAAATGTAACAATATCTAGACTCGCGATGCTTTTTGCCCGCATCTGAAATCGCAGCTGAAGGAAGCACAGCTTGAGCACTAGACAACAAGGAAATGGCCTGGGAAGGCGAGCGCACGAAGCCAACAAAACAAGAGATAAATGCCGAAGCGCGATTATGGCGATACCGATACCGCGGCCGCTTGTAAATGCTGTAAATGTTTCTTCTTGTAAAACGCGAGCGCGAACGCGAACTTGCACGTGTACCACCACTTCTTCATACAATTGCCGGCGTTCTTCAGTTTATAGATAACTGTGGTTGGGTATATTTTATGAACAAACGTTATTGTAATAATAAACACAAAAAATTTTAAATTACAAAAAAGCAAAAACATTAAAAACAAATTTTTGCATTTGTTGCACACAACATTATCTCGACCACCAGTAATTTTTATTTTTAAAAATACAGTGTGTTTTTATTTTATTTTATTTTCATTTTAAAATATTGAATATGTTGTGTTCAACGTAGGCGATGATATATGCATGCGATGCTGAAGGACGCGTCCGCCTCCTGCCATCCTTCTTCGCATCCTTCGCCAGCGCAGCATCCTGCGCGTGTAATTCGGGACCCCTCGGGGCGCTATTAGACCGCCGGAACGATAACGACCAGTCGGTCGCTTCATTTATATTCAGTAGCGCATCGGCCAACAACCACTTTTATACTGGGTGTAAACACAAAGCATAAATTTCAAAATCTATCATCATGAACCGACTTAAGTCACTTTTTGTGATATTTAATGACTTAAGTAATATTACTTAAGTAACAAAAATTTAAATCATAATAAAAGAGTTAATTTAAACATAACAAAACTTCACTCGTAGCTATATACTAGTCGGTTTTGTTCTAAGTCGTCTTTGGATAACTCTTAAGCCTTGCGACTTAAGTTATGGCGAGTTACCGGCATTCCAGTTTGAACGGATGTTGATAATCGCCCGCTGCATCTATGTTATGCTTTATTAGTTGCGAGTTAGTTAGCTAACTGGCTCATAAATATCTTTTTTCTCAACTTTACCACAAAAAAACAAATCAAACATCGAATTTTTCTATTTTATTCTTTGATGTTTCATTAATTCAATACGCACAAGCCGTAGTATTCGCAAGATTCTCGTTTACGATGAATTTTTTACTCATCCGAAGATTTCTTTGGTTTCTTTGGTTTCATGCTTTTCATATTGGTATCGTTGAGTGTCGTTAGTGGATGCACCTGTTGGCGCCCGTCGCTTTATTACCTCTACGCATCCTTTGCTCTTTGGTTTCTTTGACTTCTTCAGTTCTTCAGTGCTTCAACTTCGTTCCGGTCATAGTGTCTCGTCTGCAGCACATTAATTGAGAAACCCTCATTGTACTACACCTGATTAACAGGTATATAATATACAGTGCGTACAAAAAATCTCAAAACAAAAAAAAATTAATGAATTGTTTGTTTGTGCTCAGCGTATCAAACCGCAATAAGAAATTAAAAAAAAAATTCTCTGAGTGAATGAATGAATCAATTAAATTTTTGTTTCTTTATTTCATTCATTATTTTTTTTTGTGAGTCAAGATTCTTATTTTTGAAAAATCTGTTTCGTTATGGATGTTGTTGTTCAGGTCGTAATTGTGTGGCAGCCTTAAAAGGAGAATGCATTTCGCCATTGATTGGACTTCTGTTTAAGGCACCTCATCTTCTTTCCGCGTCGCACAGAATGTTTACGACTAGCAGGGAGCAGCGCGCAGCCAAATCGGTAATGAGCCGGTTAATAACTGGAGCGTAGAGTGAGATCGTCACTCCGCTCCTTCATTCTTCCGTATTCCTTATAACTTTGACCAGTATCCAACATCCAGCATCCAACAACCACAGCATGATTATTATGTGCTTTCAATGTATTCCTCTCTCTGTGTGTGAATGTGTGTGTTGGATGGACAGTAGCAGCTCATAACCTGCCACACCCAGCGCACCATCACCGCTTCTCCTCGGCTTCTTGGCTTGAGGTCGAACCGGAGCAAAGCCTCACAATTATCTTTCGCCTCTGCGGCCGCACTGCGGAGTTATCTAGAGTGATCCGTTGGCATCCTCGTTACACCCGTTATTACATCCTACGGTCGAGCTGCGCGCGGTGCCGTACACGTATCGTAGATTAACTTTTTTCCATCCTTTTGGCGTGTTTCGGTTTTTTTTCGTTCTGCTGCCGGCTGCGCTCGCGTTTGCATGTCGTTCGCGTGAATGATGAAACTGCCGTATAAAGGCGCGCAACCCGCCGGCGATACCAGATACATCACGCTGCCGAAGAGTACACTGACCAGTAACCTCAAACAAGCGCAGATTTGTTTTTAATTATTATTATTATATACGTGGATTTTTGCGTGGAGGCGAATATTGATTTGTGTATTTTGCTTGCCGATTGGAAATTTTGTCCTCTTTGCGGCAGAGTTGAAAGCCGATGGAAGAATGCCGGCGCGTATAAAAATCCTCCTGCGCGGCGAAGTATAAAAGAGCGCCGGCTCGTAAACGCATGCATCGCGAGCGGCCAGCGGGCCCAAACGAGGCGGCGCGCAGAGACAATGGGACAAAGCGAAGCCGCCCCGATATTATTATAAAATCCTTGTTTGCGCGCGCGCGCGTCGCATGGCGGTAGCCGGTGGACTCTCGCGAGTTACGTTCTTACTTTCCGCAACAATCACGACCAATAAATACGCTCAAAAACCGAGTGTGGCCAGTAAAACTCTAAAAAATAAAAATTTCTCAAAAAGAAATAAATTTATTTTATTTCAACCAGAAACACTCTGTATATTGAGAATCATTGTGAGCGCTACTGTCGCGCACGCCGAGTGTAACACCCCACCGGCGTCGCAGCGCGGCTTCTTAGATCTTTCGCCGACGATTCAGAGTTTTCTTGTATTTTCTGAATCGTGTGAGACTTTTTGATTATTCCTCTTTTTATTCTGTTACTCGTATCTATCCTCTTCTCATTATTGCTTTTATTTGATTATTGGACATTTTTGTGCGCGTAGACATGAAAAAACCTGAAAATTAAGGTTTTTTCTGTGGAGACTTTAACGAGTGATTAGTGCACGAACCCGCTGGGATGTGAGCTTTTTTTGTTAAGTGGTTTATTGGTTGGTATGTTTCTATCATTCTCGATGCCTTGAGAAATCTTCGGATTGCAACACCGAAAATATTTTTATAAGAAAAAAAATTGAATTGTATTCTTAAAGCTCTCGGAGCTTTTACGCGTTGGTATTATAACGACATAATTAACGCGTCGAACAATGCGTTGCGAATTAACGCGTTCTCACATTCTTCATCATCTGAAGAAGCTTTTTTTTATTTATTGTTATTTTGATCCTAAAAGCTCTATTTTTTGTGTTTAAATATCAAAATATTTATAAATATTTGTTTTTTCTTTGCAGATAAGACATAGATTTGGTTGTTACGATGAAACATCACAGGTGGGTGGACGAAAAGTGCGCCATTGCAACTGGGTGCGTTTCGTACGTGTTGCCACAGCTTTCCACGCCAACGTCAATCTGGTAGCAACAAAAGTACGCGGTGAACCTGTCTATGAAGCCGTCAAACCCATTCCGCCCGGCACGGAGCTTTTGGTTTATTATTTACCGGAAAGACCCGAGGAGCTTTTCTTTGTCAGGATGCGTGCGTCACTTTATCGTCAAACCATGGATTCTATTCTAGAAGGTAAAAAAATCAACATTTACTTTAAAAAAGCTCATAAAAGCTCTAAAAATTTCAAAAACTTATAAAAATATTTAATATTCAGATTCACCATTGGATCTATCAATGTCATTACTCTCGCGTGCATTATCCGGTTCACCACCAAGCGCTGAAGACGAAGGCAAATCAGTTTCCGGCGATTCTTCAGCCGCTAGCTCGCAGGGTGACTTACCAGACAATCATACTCCTGCGCCCACCCCACGTGCACGACCCAGGGAAAGAACACTGCTTCCCTGCTCCGTATGCTCAAAAGCTTTCGATCGGCCATCTTTACTTAAGAGACATATGAGGACACACACTGGTAATTAATACTTACTTAAATTAATCAAAAAAAAAAAATTTTTAAAATTTTCTAATTTTTTTAAACTAGGTGAAAAACCACACGTTTGCATGGTTTGCGGCAAAGGGTTCAGCACCTCTTCATCCCTCAACACCCACCGCCGTATCCACAGCGGTGAGAAACCACATCAGTGTCCGGTGTGCATGAAAAGATTCACCGCCTCATCGAACTTGTACTATCATCGGATGACACACATTAAGGTACGTAATTTAACAATAATAATAATAAATGCATTCGTTGAATCCGTTGGAAATACTTGTATCCTTGAACTTTCACTCTTTGCAATGACTCCGTCGTCTGCGTCTGCGTGCTTTTTGCCATTCTGCAGGATGCGGCCCAGCAGACGCCATTGTCTTTTAAAGTTCTCACGCGTCGCATTATTATGCACATTACCGCCGCGTCGACTTTTCAACTTTGACTCAAAGAAAACGCGAGTTAATTGTTCAAACAATACCATCCAGTGCTCACGCATGACGCATAATAGAATAATAATTAAATAATTTAAAAGCGAATTAATGCGGACGCAATACTCACCATCACCACACTGCGTAATTATCTAGGGCACTGTGTGCAATTATACTGAGTGATGTAATTTTAATTTTTAATTTTTTTAAATTTTAAACACTCTGTATGTTAATATGTTGGTATTAATCTTAATGTCCCGGGTGATGTGTGTGAATTCCTCACCCGCCGACCATTGTCCATCAACCGACAAATATCGTGATGAGGGGAAGTCACCGTGAGAACTTTAAGCTGACTTAAGTTTAAGTTAACTTAAGTTAAGAAAACACATTCGTGTCACACTCGAGCGACTCGCACTTGTACGCATGCACTTGTTCGATTGTTTTCTTATTAATTCTTCACGCACCCTTTTTCTGGCCGGTGCTCCACTTTACTTAAGCCATAAGGCTTAGGCTTAAGTCATGCGCGTTGTGCTCGACTTCACTTTCCCTCGCATGTCGAAATCAACATGCATATATGTTTTGTGTGTGTGTGAAAGGGCAAAAGGTGGCTCCGAGGTGCGTATCGTCTTACTGGTTACCTCTTACCTCACTGAAGGTGGAGGCGATGCGTCGTACGCATCATCGACGTGAGAAAAACGCTATAAGAACAATAACAATGCGGAGCAAACAAAGCGAAACCGACGCAACCGACGACGATGAATTTATGCATACATGTGTGAATTAGATGCGTACAAATAAAATTACGAGTAGAACGTGAGTCAAGTGCAGACAATGCATAATATTTTTTGATGGTTGATGGTTTCTTGGAAATATTTTGATTTTTATAATTAGTCGGCAAAATTGTTTCTCCAGGAAATTATTAACTATTTTGTTTGAATTCTTGGAATGGAAATAAAATATAGCAAATTAAAATAATTTTGGGTTTGTCGCTTGTTGGAGCGTTGAAATTTTTATCGAAAAATCTAAATAACTTCTTCAAAAACCAAGAAAATAAGATTTTTTTCAGAGGTTTATAAATTTATGAGTAAAAATTTTAAAAGAAAGTATTTTTTAAAGTAAATGAAGACATTTTTGACTTGGCAGTCATGCGCAACAGATTGGAAATGTACCTGTCACTTTATTACACAAATTTTCACCCTCTCAAGTAGCTAAGCAGGTGATATATGTGCTTTAATTTGATATATACTTAAGTATACGATGATTCGACAACATTTCCACCTTTTTTATATTTTCAACATCTTCAGCTGATTTTTTCTTTTTTCTTCTCTCAACCCTGTTTTCTTCTTTATAAATTGGATGCTGAAGCTGACCTTATGCCCATATGCCACTGGTTACGTCAATAACAACCTTCAACAGGCCTAATAACGGCGTACAAAAGAATTTTTTATATAATCCGTTATTAGTCCTTTTTTCCGATCAAAAAAGCTCAAAAAACTTGAAATATAAAATTGGTCAATAATAACACCATAGGTTTTGAAAAGTTCCACGAAAAAAATGTGCACCTGTAGCGCACAAATTGTATCACAACAGAAAACATCAAAAGACATCTAAAGAAAGACACGGAAGACACGAAAAATACAAATAACCCCACAGGACATCAAATTTAACCCTAAAACATTTTTAATAAAAAAATCATCTTTAGTGTCACCTGTTAAGCGTATTTCTACTTTCAACGTTTTTATATCCTCGTTATAAAATTAGATAACTCTATAAATATAAAAATATAAAATATAACATGAAATATAACATGCCTGAAACATCCTCATAGATCAAGTGGCACTTGCTCCATCAAAAGTTTGATTTAAGAAGAAGAAGAAGAACAATGGTGGCCATATGCTTGCGTTTCCGTCCTAAGCGCTACCCTTTTCTCCCTTTGTTGGTGTTGCGTGGCATATGCTGCGCTGTTGCTATCATTAGCATCATCGACGTCTTTTCACCGCTCTAAACGGCGGTAAAAAACAGCAAATTGCATCCGTGTCCGATGGCAACCTGTTGTTCGGGATGTTAACCTGTTGTCAAAACATTGGTCATCATTTTACAGTCGTAAAATTTGGGAAAACACTCATAAAAGTCGTAAAAATTAAAATAATTGTTGGGTTACTCACAAAGCTCCCATTGATATCACCAAAGAATAAAATAAGGATAAAAAAGTTTTGTTATTTGCCACGGAAAAATTTCAAACCTTAAAAAAACAATTTTTATATTTATCGTGAGTTTATCATTTTATCTTTCATAATTTCCAAGTTATTAAATTTTTTATTAATTTTTTGTTGTGTGTATGATATGTAACTTTAAATATTAATCATGTTCCTCATGCAATCATTCTAATACTCCATACCAAGTGTGATGTAACGGTTTAAAAGCTCTATCTTTATACGTTTTTAAGTAATTGCTTGTTACTTTATTCAACTCATGCTCTCGTTATTTATTTATTTAGATTTCTGATTAGCACACATTAGAAAAATGATTTACTCTTGTTCAGCATGCGTGTTCTCGTCGTTGTCGTGTGTGATGCGCGCGCGTTATCGGTGGATCAGGATCGCTTCTCACACGCATCGCATCGCGGAGCTTTTTAATAATGGCCGCGCGCGCATTCCGCGCCGTCTCATATATTATGCGTACGTAATAATGGTTTTCGGCCGTTGCGGTGCGGTGCGGGTTCAGTGCAAGTAGCAAGAAATCTTTGGACAATGTTGCTCCCATTCGTTACGCGCCTCTCTTCTTCTCTCAATGTTCTTACAGAACTTAGACAATGGTCTAAGAAGCGCTGTTTAAATCTACGTGAAAGCTCCGGAGGGTATTTTTAATCAGCTTTTGCTGCACTAACAACTACTGACTCTCAACTTCTATACAAGAAGAGCTTTTGTTGAACTTTTGATTTTTTGAGGATTTTATCCCGTTTTATGTTTGAAAATGGTGTTTTTTGATATTATACGTTATGGATCTCTGGTAAAAAATTCGACGCACTTGTTATTGACCGTTAAAATCAACGGACAAAGACGCATCGACCACTGGTCGTAATGGTAACCGGCGTGCTACCTGGGCAACAAGATAATATCGCCGGGTGGGACGTCTTCGATCGCGCGGCGGCCGGAAGTCGAGGGCACCTGTTGCGGGCCGAAGATGGGCCGGGCCGAGGGAGAAGCGTCTCGACTTCTTTCCCACATTCCCACGCAACAATAACGGCCGCGGAGACTTCTTAATTCTCAACGGAAATCAACGGAAATCCACTTCGAAGTGATTAAGACGTAGTGGAATTAACTCGAACGAATTTCAAAGCCATATTTGGGGAAAAGGTCAAATTCTATGTGCGAGATTAATTTCTAGACATTTATTTGAAGTGGTGTGAGGTACAAGTATTGAGATTTTAGGATAGGTAAAAGGTTATTGAGATATTTATGAAAAAAATTATAATTTTTGTTTAAAATGATTTGATGCTTCTATTTTGGGTGATAAAATGATAAAATTTTGATAAAAGATTGGAGTAAAGTTAATATTCATCTAGCAATTTAGTTTGTTCAAAAATTTCAATAAGTTCTCAAGTTATAAGTAAAAATCTTAGGGTTCGTTGCTTGTTTTTATCTAAGCATTGAAGTTTCCACCCGTAACTCTGCTGCCTTTAAGGATAAATCAACAAATCCTGTTTCACTTCACATAATGAACAGAAAAACATATCCTGAAAATTTTATCCTTGTAACATCAATATTTAACGAGTTATTTTTTTTTAATTTTAACAATTTTTAATTTTTTTTTCAGGATAAACCACACAAATGCAACCTCTGCAGCAAATCCTTCCCGACTCCAGGCGATCTACGCTCGCACATGTACGTGCACTCGGGTTCGTGGCCGTTCAAGTGTCACATCTGCTCGCGCGGCTTCTCCAAGCACACCAACCTGAAGAATCACCTATTCTTGCACACAGGTAAGCCGAAAACCAAAAGGAAACAAGGCTAAACCTCCAGCGCCCAAAATCAACAAACAAAAATTATTAGATTTTTCACTTTTCACCGCAGAAAGAGGAGAAAAATCATATTTAGTCACTGCACATTTTTATTAGATAAGCCGGTATATTTATCTAAGAGGTCTTAAGTTAGGAAGTTTTTAAAAGTCAATGTAAAACTTGCAAAAACAATTCGTGTGCTCTTTTTTTCTATAAATTTTTGCATTTTTTTTAAAAAGTTTTCTTTAAGCAAACAGAAATAATATGTAAATATCGCTTTGATTGGTCCATTCGCTCCGTCCGGTAATAATTACTTAACTTACTTAAATCATTAGTTAACGTTATATCTTTGTTACTTATTACGATGTGTACATACATGAAAAATTCTGTGATTTTCTACTTGTAATTAATTATTATTATATGTTTTTTTCTAATTTAATTAATTTAATTACACTTGTTCATATATTTCGATGCTATTATTCTGGTATACAGTATTTTATTCTGTCTAAGGTAGACACAAACCAAAATTATACAGTGTGTCCTTTTATTTAATTTTTTTTTTCAAAATCGAAAAAAATTAGAAAAAATGTCATGACAGGACACATTGTATGTAAAATTATTGCAAATAAGTATAACGATATAGTAGTTATTTATAAATTACGATCTTTATTTCATATTGATATATATTTTTATAAATATGCATATATTATTTGAAAATACAGAAAATTTTTATAAAAAAAATGTGTTTTTATTTTAAAAAACTTCCTGAAACAGGAAAATTGTGGTTACAAAATTGATTATCCAATCAAAGGTACGTTATACATATTATTTCTATGCATGCTTAGAATTAGAATATAGAATTTTGTTTCTTGCCAAAACATGAAACATTTCTGCACGATTTTTTTCTAAAAATTTTGTAATTTTCAGTTTTTTTCTTAAATTTTCTTCACATTTTAAGATCTTTTTAATTATGACTTGAATTTGTTGTAGTTTTTGATTTTTTGCAAGTTTTACTTTTGATTTTTTAGCATTTTCCACTTTTTTTTATATTTTTTTCTTAGAAACCGAAATTTTTAAGAAAAAAAATTGAAATTTTCAAAAAAAAATGTGCAAAACTTTAACAGCGAAATTTCTAGTCAAACTTGTTTCCTTTTTTCTTATTTTTAAAATTTTTGTAATTTTTCAAAAATAATTTGTCTAAAAATATCTTCCTTGGGATGTTGGTACAGTGGTGATAATTACACATTGAGTAATTAACTAAAAAACTCGCGTATACCTATAATAACACTCTTCAAACATTCTGATTGCGCCCGAAGTTTACTCAAACCTTTACAGTTACGATCATCCACGGTGGTAAACTCATCCAGCGTGCGTGATTTTCCTGCCGGCAGCCGGCTACCGTGCGCCCAACGCGAGTAATCAATCTCTGCGGCGCATTTTAATTTTTTTCTCCTCTCGGCCATCTCTCGCGCATCTCGCTCATCTCGCGCCTCATCAGCATCGAACACGCATCGATCAAAAAGCGCTGCCACGCTGCCAAGCGGCGGAACGCATTAAAATTCCGCATTTTGTTTCGTAATTTCTGGCACGTCGCGCATTAAAACGCATCATTATACGTCGCGCTACTGTGTATTACGCATACGCGCGCGCGTTTGCATTAATACCACTGAGGATGGTGTAGCTGCTGCTGCTGGCGGCCACAATCAACAGCCTCCGGGGGCTGCGCAGCCGTTGCGGCCGTCGATGACGATAATGAAAGTGATTCGGTAATAACACACTGGTCGTGCTACGTGCTTCGCCGGTCGAAAGCTCGAAATTTCGACGATGATGATCTCTTCGGAAACAATGAGCGCGATGCTGCCGCCGAGATCGAGGCCGAGATGTATCTATGGCAGCCGAAGGAGGCAATGCACCCGTATCGCTACTTGTTTTAATTTTAAAATTAAGTGCTTGTTATACAACGAGTGTTTTGAGAACAAAAAATGCATTTTTTTGGTTTTTTGTTAGTGAAAGCTACAATTATTATTTAATTACGTTGAAAATTTCAAAATATATTTCTAGCTAATGTATAAACATTATCAGAAAATTTCAAGAGAATCGTATAATTAGTTTAAAAGATATTTAAGTTTTTCTTTGGTTCGTCGTTTAAAAAATTACGAGACCCGTTAAAGTCACCAAGCAAAATTGCTTATATCTCGCTCAATTTTACTAGTTGAAATCTGAAATTTTGTACAAATATTTATTATTAAATACTTTATCAAAACCCAAAATTTAGTTAATTTATAATTAATACTTTTTAAGTTATTAATAATTTTTCCAAATATTGCAATTTTTTGCCACACTCGGTCCGGGGTTTTCGTTCCATATACTCGTCCAACATCAATTTCCATCCGTGTGCTCGATGCCATCCCGTAGCTCCGCGCGTCCGTCCGCCTCGTCGTCTTGTTTCTTGCGCATCCTTTTGCCGTCCGACGCGGGTCTTCTCCTCGTGTGATTACACGCTACCTGCGCGTCGCGCTTCATTTTGCTCTCGTTGCGTGCCTGCGTGCTGCCGCCGGTGGTGCCTATCAATATGGAATTTATAACGCCGAGATTATACCTCCGCGCAGCGCGTACGTGAATCGCGCGGTCGCGTTCGCGTTAATAACGACCGCGCGATGGGCGATGGGCGAGGTGGATGCCGGCCGGGCGCGGCTACCGTACGGCCCCCGCGGGCTGTGTTCTTATAATTAAAACGGGGCTACAATAAAACACGCGCGTTATTCATACGCGCGGCTGCGATATTGCGAACGAACGACATGTGCGTATTTTACGCGCTTTGCTAACTGACTTTGAATTTTTTTCTGCACATTAATGAAATTATTCTTTAGAAATAAAGTTTTTGTTGATTAAACAGTAAAAATTTGCTAATAATTGTCATAAGAATTGTTTTTAAGTTGAAGTTATAGAAGATTATTTTGATTTTTTGGAATTACAGTTAGTATAATGTTTGAGTTTTCTTTTATAATTTAAATTTAACACTTAGATTAACAATCATATAATATAAGTACATACCAAATATGGTTTAATTAACTCTTTTAGTTTAATTGTTATTTAATTTTTAGTTTGGGTTGGCTGTCTATTCCTAATCAAAGCATTGAAGTCTCCAATGAAAATTTGGTATAACTGCCGTAATTTTAGAGATTTTAACGACATTTTTTCATAAAATTAAATAATACACCAATACAATACAGATTAGTTTAATTTTTAATTATTTAAACATTTAAATATGCTCCAATTTGTGTTTTTTAAGTGAAATCCGCACTTTTTGCATTTTTTGCTTTTTTCTCTTTAAACCCGACAATTTTTTGTTTTAATTGCATTTTTGCAAAACGCGTGCATATAATACAATAACAATTATTCAAATTGCATGGCACGCACTGAAGACGTCAATCAAACGCGCTGGAAACCGTTCAAAACACGAAAAACTCCGCAACCTGCGCGCTTTCAACGAGACACGTGCTATCGCGCGCGTTTCCTTCTACACTCCACAGGATAGAAGTAAGCAAATTACGAAATCACGACTTGCGCAGAGTGCAATCGAGCCGCCTCAATGTGCGCACTCGTCGTCGTTTTTTTCCGCTCTTCGTGCATACAACTCGTGCTTTGAGACTTTCATCTCTCGGCTGGTGTGTTGCACTAAAAGTTGGAAGCTGCAGGAGTAGAAAAAAATTAAGTGCACGCGTCGCTCCCGGCTTCCTTTTAATCACTCGGCGCACAGCGGTGCCAACCTGCAAGCGAGCTTTTGAAGGCTTCTTCGGCGGTTGAATGCGGCGCGCGAGAATGCCAGCTCGTATTGTCGTGTAATTTACGTGTAACGCACACCCGTGGAATCAACTCTTAATATGCCCGTATACCAAGCGTCTTTGCATTGCTTTACATAAAATTTTCCGGGGCTTTACATCAAGTTAAATCATTATTTAAGCGGTGGTGATTTATCATGCAAATTTTTCTGCATAATCTCCGCAGAAAAATTTATAAAAATATTTTTGAATATTTTAAGATAAAACACATTGTATATTGAAATTTGTTTAACAATAGACAGTTTAAATGGCAATTACAAGTTAAATATCGCTTGCTACGTCAATCAAACGTTATTATCCTGAGTTTAAAGCCTGATATTATTGGGAACACCCTGTATAAATTTATTTTTATGTTTTATAGTTGGTCTAGACTTGTTTGTAGCCGATGGCAAAAATTTTACATTAAAAATTTGCACAAAAGCTTAATTTGAGTAAAAAACAACGAAAAAACGTTAAAAAGTAAAAAATTTATAAAAAAAATGTTTACCCAGTGAATGCGCACATAGTTTATGCGCTCTAATAACACTCAAAGTTGAGAGAATGTTTTCTTCAGACGTAGAAGTCGCTTGAAACAAAAATAACGACAAGAGTAGCATGGATGACTGCGCTGCGAGTTGACGCGATGATGAATCGTATCAGCAGCATGTTAATTTAATAGCTATTAATCAAATTACATCAAAACTTCAACCAACATAACCTAAAAATCATTAGCTGGTAATTCAGGAAACTGTATTACCGATGCAAGTAATAAAAGCTTTTCGTGTTTGTTTAATTCGTGAAACGGTGATGCTGAATGCTCGACTCTATGGTTTCATTGCGCATACCATTTTCTTGTGTTCTTGTTCTTGTTCTGCGTTGCGTGGCTTCGCTCGCAGCATCCTGCGATTGCGCATATCATGTCTTCGTTTCTTCGCTCGACCGCCGGATAATCAAGCGAAGATGATGGCAACGGCATGCCGCGCTGCCGGTCGTGTTCCTGCCGAACGCACGCAGGACTGTAATCAAAGTCGAGCAGAAGCAGTTCGTCGGCGCGGCGCGCAGCGAGAGCAGAGCGGAGAGCAAAAAATGCGAGCGCGCCGACCGATGCTGCGATGCTAGACGCCGCGGGCCAAACAGCCACTGCCCAGGCTACCGTTCAAC